TGGTCTCGATCTCTTGACCTCGTGATCCACCCGCCTCAGCCTCCCATTACAGGCTTGAGCCAGCGCGCCCGGCCTGATATTGCATTTTTTACAAACTGAAGGTTCACGGCAACTCTGCATCAAGCAAGTCTATCAGCATCATGTTTCCAACAGCATGTGCTCAATTCTTGACTGTGTCACATTTTGGTAATTCTAACAATATTTCAAACTTTTTCATGATTATTGTATCTGGTATAGTGATTTGTGATCTTAATATTAGTGACTATCGTAACTGTTCAGGGACATCCCATACAGGGTCTTTTCAATACAGTGAACTTAATTGATAAATGTTATGTGTGTTCCAAATGCCACACTGACCAGCTGTTCCCTTGTCTCTCTCCCCTTCCTCAGGCTTCTCTATTCCCTGAGGCAAAACGATACTAAAATTAGGTCAATTCATAACTTTACAATGGCCTCTAAGTGTTCATGTGAAAGGAAGATTCCCACTTATCTCATTTTAAATCAAAAGCTAAAAATAATTAGGCTTAGTGAAGAAAGCATCTCAAAAGCCAAGAGAGGCAAAAAGCTAGGCTTCTTGGGCAAAACAAAGAAGAAATTCTTAAAGGAAATTAGAAGTGCTACTCCCATGAAGACATGAACAGTAAGAAAGAAAACTGTCTTATTGCTGGTATGAAGAAAGTTTTAGTGGTCTAGACAGAAGATCAAACCAGCTTCAACAGCCTCTTCAACCAAAGCCTAGTCCAGAGCAAGGCTCTAACTCTTTTCAATTGTATGAAGGCTGAGAGAATTGAGGAAGCTGCAGCAGAAGAGTCTGAAGATAGCAACAGAAGTTGGTTCACAAGGTTTAAGGTTTCCATAACATAAAAGTACAAGATGAAACAGCAAGTACTGATAGAGAAGATGCAGCAAGTTATCCACAAGATCTAGTTAAGATCATGGATGAAAATAGGGCCAGGCATGATGGCTCACACCTGTAATCCCAGGGCTTTGGGAGACTAAGGTGGCAGGATCACTTGAGGCCAGGAGTTCAAGACCAGCGTGGGCAACAGAGCAAGACCCCATCTCTATTAAAAAAAAAAAAAACAACTCTTTTTAATCAGCTGGGTATGATGTCATGTGCCTGTACTCCTACTTACTTGGGAGGCTGAGGCAGGAAGATAGCTTGAGCTCAGGAGTTTGAGAATGCAGTGAGCTGTGATCATGTCACTGCACTCCAGCCTGGACAAAAGAGTGAGACCTTGTCTCTTTAAAAAAAAAAAAAAAAAAAAAAAGGAGAGAGAGAGAGACAGACAAGAAGGAAAGAAAGAAAGAGAAAGGAAAGGAGGAAAGAGAGACAAAGAGAGGAAGGGAAAAAGAGAGAGAGAAAAGAAAAGCTACACAAAACAACAAATTTTCAATGTAGACAAAACAGCCTATTGGAAGAAGATGCCATCTAGGACTTTCAATAGCTTGAGAGAAGTCAATCCATGGCTTTAAGCTTCAAAGGAAAGGCTAACTCTCTTGTTAGGGGCTAAGGCTAAGGTGGCTTTAAGATGAAGTCAATGGTCATTAATCATTCTCAAAAGCTGTGGGTCCCTTTAGAATTATGCTGACTCTATTCTACCTGTGTTATATAAATAGAACTACAAGGCCTAGATGACACCACATCAGTTTATAGGATGGTTTACTGAATATTTTAAGCCACTGTTGAGACCTACCGCTCAGAGAAAAAGATTCCTTTCAAAATATTATTGCTCATTGACAGTGTACCGGGTCCATTTGCATTGCTATGAAGAAATATCTGAGGTTGGATGTTATAAAGAAAAGAAGCTCATTTGGCTCACAGTTCTGCAGGCTGTACATGAAGCACAGTGTTGGCATCTACTTTTGGTGAGGGCCTCAGGGGAGCTTAAGATCATGGCGGAAGGTGACAAGAGCAAGTGTGTCACATGGTGAGAGAGGGAGCAAGAGACAGAGGGAGGATGTTCCAGGCTCTTTTAAACAACCAGATCTTGTGTGAACTCATAGAGTGAAAACTCACTTATTAACTCAAGGACAGCAACAAGACATTCATGAGGGATCCACCCCCATGACCCAAACACCTCTCACTAGGCCCACCTCCAACACTGGAGGTCACATTTCAACATGAGATTTGAAGGGGACAAAACATCCAAACCATATCACTCCCAAGAAACTCTAATGGAAATGTACAAGGAAATTAATGCTTTCAAGCTTGCTAACACAATATCCATTCTGTAGTCCATGGATCAAGAAATAATTTCAACTGAGTTTTATTATTTCAGAAGTATATTTCATAAGGCTACTGCTGCCATAGATAGTGATTCCTCTGACAGACCTGGGCAAAGTAAATTGAAAATCTTCTGGGAAAAAAACCACCAGTCTGGACACCTTTAAGAAGATTTCTCATGGGAGAATGTCAAAATATCAACATTAACAGGAGTTTGGAAGAAGGTGATTGTAACCCTCATGGACAACTTTGAGGGGTTCATGACTTCAGTGGAGAAAGGAACTGCAGATATGACAGAAGTATCATGAAAACTAGAATTAGAAGTGGACCCTAAAGATACAACTGGATTGCTATAATCTCATGATCAAATCAGGAACAGATAAGGAGTTGCTTCATAGGAGTAAGCAAAGAAAGTGGTTTCTTGATATGGAATCTACTATTGGTAAAGGTGCTGTGAGGACTGTTAAAATGACCGCAAAGGATTTAGAATATTAAATCAACTTCACTGATAAAACAGCAGAGTTTGAGAGGACTGTCTCTAATTTTTAAAGAAGTTCTACTGTGGGTAAATGCTATCAAATAGTATTACACGCTACAGAGAAATTGTGTAAAAGGAAGAGTCAATTGAAGTAACAAACTTCATTGTTATTTTAAGAAATTGCCACAGTCACCCCAACCTCCAAAAACCACCACTGTGATCAGTCAGCAGCCATTAACATCAATGCAAAACCCACCATCAGCAAAAAGATTATGACCCGCTGAAGGCTGAGATGACTGTTAGCATTTTTTAGCAATAAAGTATTTTTAAATTAAGGTATGTATGTTTTCTAAACATAATGCTACTGCCCACTTAATAGGCTATAGTGTACATGTAACTTTTATGTGCACTGGGAAACCCAAAAATTTGTGTTACTCACTTTACTATAATATTTGCTTTATTGCAGTGGTCTGGAACTGAACCTGCAATATCTCTGAGGCATGCCTGGACCTTTTCTGTTCCTCAGTTCCTACATGAGTGCCTTCTTTTATGTTAGATATTTCTCGGTGTACCATTTTGATTCCCTTCTTATACTTTTTACTATGCATGCTTTTTATTTTCTTGGTGGTTGCCCAATTATAATGAACATCTTAATTTATTAATATAATCTATTTGAAATTAACAGCAGCAACTTAGTTTCAATAGTATACAAAAAAGTTGCTCCTAAATAACTTGCCCTCTTTTATGTTGTTACTGTAACACATTGCATATTTATGCATTGTGTGTCTAACAACAGATCTGTAATTGTTATTTTTTACAGTTATCTTTTAAATCATTTTTAAAGGGCCGGGTGCGGTGGCTCACGCCTGTAATCCCAGCACTTTGGGGGGCCGAGGCGGCTGGATCACAAGGTCAAGAGATCGAGACCATCCTGGTCAACATGGTGAAACCCCGTCTCTACTAAAAATACAAAAAATCAGCTGGGCATGGTGGCGCGTGCTTGTAATCCCAGCTACTCAGGAGGCTGAGGCAGGAGGATTGCCTGAACCCAGGAGGCGGAGGTTGCGGTGAGCCGAGATTGCGCCATTGCACTCCAGCCTGGGTAACAAGAGCGAAATTCCATCTCAAAAAAACAAAACAAAACAAAACAAAATCATTTTTAAAAAGGAGTTACAAACCAAGTATTAACCAAGTATTAACCATGTTAATACTTATTTTTAGATTTACTTATATAGTTACCTTTATTGGTGTTATTTCTTTGTGTATATTTGAAGAAAGCATCCTGTAATTTCAGTGAATTTCCTTAAGCATTTCTTGCAAGTAGGTCGACTAAGGAGAAACTGTCAGTTTTTGTTTATCTGGGAATCTTTTAATTTCTCGCTTAATTTTGATGGATAGATCTGCTGAATACAGAATTTGTGGTTGACAGTTATAACTTTGTTTTTTTTCTTTCAGCACTTTGAATGTATCACGCCACTAACTTTTTTTTTTTTTTTTTTTGAGACAGAGTCTCACTCTGTTGCCAAGCTGGGATGCAGTGGCGCCATCTCACCTCACCACAATTTCCACCTCCTGGTTCAAGCAATTCTTGTGCCTCATCCTCCTGGGTAGCTGGGACTACAGGGGCGTGCCACCAAGCCCAGCTAATTTTCTTTTTAGTAGAGATGGTGCTTCCCCATGATGCCCAGGCTAGTCTCAAACTCCTGAGTTCATGCAAGCTGCCCTCCTTGGCCTCCCAAAGTGCTGGGATTATAGGCATGAGCAATGGCATCCAGTCACCACTGCCTTTTTGCCTCCATAATTTCTGATTAGAAACCAGCTGTTAATTTCATAAACTGCTGATCTAATGCCTGAACCAATGAGCTGTTAAGGCTCATAAGTAGTTAACGGTTTGACTCTATCTTGCTATTTTCAGGATTCTGTTTGGCTTTCAACAGTTTGATTATAATGTGTCTTGGTTTCAATGTCTATGCTACTTTGGAGTCACAATATATTCATACTTATGTCTTTCACTAAATTTGGTTAGTGTTTGGTCATTATTACTTCAAATATTATTTCTGCCCTTCTCTCTCTCTCATTCTGGGACTCCCATTTTGTGTATATTGGTACACTTAATGGTGTCTCACATATTTCTTAGGCTCTGTTCATTTTTCTTTATTCTTTTTTCTTTCTGTTCCTCAGATTGGATAATCTCAATTGACCTATCTTCAAATTAGTTGATTATTCTGCCTGTTCAAATCTGTTCTTTCTGTCACTGTACTTTTCAGCTCCAGAATTTCTATTTGATTGCTTTTTCATAATTTCTATCTCTTTATTGATATTGTCTACTTAGGACATTGTTTTTCATGGTTTCCTTTAGTTCTTTGTCCATGGTTTCCTTCAGTTCTTGAGCATATGACTGAAAGTCCACATTAAAAATCTCAATGTCTGGGCCTCCTTTGGGACAGTTTCTATCAGTTTCTTTTTTTCTTGTGTATGGGTCATTGTTTCTTATCATGCCTCAGATTTTTTGCATTTTGAATATTATAAGGTGGCAACTATGAAAATCAGATTCTCTCCCTCTCCTGGGTTTGTTGTTGCTATCTGTTGTAGCTGTTATTTGTTCAGTGACTTTTTAGAACTAATTTTATAAAGTGTATTTTTTGTCACATGTAGCCAATGAATTTTCTATTGTTAGCTTAGTGGTCAGTTAGTGATCTGACAGTTTCCTTAGATGCGAAGATTCCAGTGTTTTTTCTCTTTTCTCTTTTTTTTTTTTTTTTTTTCAGACAGGGTCTGACTCTATTGCCTAGGCTGGAGTGCAGTGGGTATAATTATGGCTCACTACAGTCTCTCTCTCCTTGGCTCAAGAGATCCTCCCACTCCAGCCTCCTGAATAGCTGGGACTACAGGCATGTATCACTATGCTGAGCTGATTTTTAAAATTTTTAGTAGAGCCAAGGTCTCAGTATGTTGTACACAGTGGTCTCAAACTCCAGAGCTCAAGCAATCCTCCCACCTCAGACTTCCAAAGTGCTAGGATTACAGGCATGAGTCACCATGCTCAGCCAGGTGTTTTCTTTGCAGACTGAGACACTGTTTATTTGCTGTAAAGTTTTGATTAGTTTCCAGAGTTCCAATAAAGGTGATGCTGGCTGTTTTTACCAATTTATTACTGCTTTTATGGAAGGCTTTTGGAGTTTCCTGCTCTGCCAATTTTGCTGTCATCATGCAAAGTATCTCTTAAGAAACAGATGAGATATATTTAAATGATAAAGCAAGAAAGGTGTCTTATTACCATGGCCCTACTCAAAAGACCAAGCAGTACTTCTAGCAACATGCAGTATAAATCTGGACACTAACAGTCACTAAAATCATGAATGTAAAACTTTATATAAAACATAAATGTAATATACAGATAATATTATTGTTGTTATTGTAGCATCTGGTCAGGGGAACAGTCTTCAAAATGCTGGTGCAGAATAGTCAACAGCAATAAACCTGGCAATGTTCTTAGGATTTAAAGTGCCTAAACAATAATTTCACTAAAAAAATGAAGGCAGTAACTACACCTTCCTCTTTTGTACAGAGACCATTTCTGTATCCTCAAACCCTAACATAGTGCCTGGCATATAGTGAATGTATTCAAGAAATTTCTTATAAATACATAAAAATAACCGCTCTCTATTCCTTAAGAAAAAGAAATAATTTCTATCCCTTAAGGGAAAGAAAGAAAACATCAACATTTATTAGGAACCCATTATCTGTCAGGCACTACGCTGTTTTAAATATACTGCATCTCGTTTAATGAACACAGACACTCTATAACATAGGTATCATCATCCCCAATTTATAGACAGAGAAATGAGAGAAGTGATCTTTCCAAGGTCACACGGCTGAAATGATTTAAACCTATAGTATCTCTATAATTCTAAGGCCTGTGTTGTTTGCACCACAGCATACTGATCTAACTTACTCTGCTCTGCCATAGAACAGACTCAAAATATCTAGAGAAGCTCTGTCTATCTGAACATATAATGAAGTCATAAACAAGAGAAAGCAGCATTGTCTGAAAAGCAACTTGCTTAAAATTTCCACTGCCAAGAGACCAGATGGTTTCTGGGATGTCTAGTTAGGCTAAAAATACCCTCGCCCACAATGAGTTTGATTTACAAACAAAGAAAAGCAGGGGTAGCCAGCATAAACATGCAGCTGGAAAGCTAGAAGACTTAATGCTTACAAAACACTACTTAGAGGGTTTCAAATGGCCATAGAGTTTCAAATGGCCATACAAGACATAAAAGGTTAGTTTATGCTCTCAATTGCTAGCTCATTACTCTCGCTGTCTCTCACAAACCTACAACATAACTAGTTTCTTAATCATACCTTCAGGTCTGACAGAGCTGAGTCCCATCAAGAAGCTAAAGGTTGGAGAGGATCCTCTTTTTCAGTCTCTGACCTGAAAGACCCTTCCCACCCTCTCCACCCTGTCACACACCTCCATCTCCTTCCTCTCCCTCTCCCCCTCCCTCTCTCTTCCCCCCATTCCTTCTCTCCCTCTGTCCCCTCTCCTCTCTCCCTCTCTCTCTCTCTCTCTCTCACTCACACACACACACACACACAGCCATCATCAAGCTTCGCCATTTCAACTCACTGCTTCATTTTCTTCTCATATCTCCTCTTCCTCAAGCCACTGTTTGACTATTCTCAACACATAATTTGTTAAGTCTGATCTTTACTGTTACAACTTCCTAACTGCCCCCCACCCTCTTTCTTTTCATGCCCTGACCCCATTTCCTCCGTCCTTCAAAACTCTGGTTGAAGCCACCTCTTGACATTTCCATTTTAAAGGATGAATCTTAAGAAACCATAGAGCAACCTTCCTGCCCTAGCTTGTAGGTAAGGCATAACCCTCTGCATTTTATATAGATGAGACTGAAAGAGAGCCAACTGATTTTACCCAAGGTCACACTGCTACTTCTTCCCTAGAACTCCACCCCTTAGTTCTCTGAATCTGTTTCTTTTCCTCAATCCTGAAACTAGTCTTCCAATATCACATCACTTACGTGTCTGCTTGGTTTCTGTTACCTGAGTGCTTCTGTAGTTCATTTGTAAATTTTAAGGAAAAGGGACCTATTTCCCAGAGGGTCTTCATATTTCAATTCACTCTACAACTGACTAGACCTGTGTTTATATCTCTGAGTCTGCCAGTAAGTCTCTGTCTATATCTCTCCTTATATATACGCCTTAGAGAAAGCACAGCCACTTCAAGTCCTTTGAATTGCCACACTCTGAGCCACCAGAGACTCAGGCTTAAAAGTATCTGGACATTAGAAAACAAAATGATGTAGCTATGGTTGATTTTACTAAGGAGAACACAGATCTTTCTTTTATAACATCTATAAAAAGTATCAACATAAGCTATTGCTAAAGCATTTAGAGGCTAAAAAGCAACTTCAGAGTATAAAAATTTTATCAATGTGGTCACCAGAGTTCCCCCTAAATCCCATAATAATCCTATGGAATCCAATCTAAAAAACAGCCATCAGCCAATCTGTCCCTTCAATGCTCCTAGAGACCTCCCTCCCAGAGATCCTCTGGTGCAAGTTTGACAGTTGGTTCTAACAAAGACCCAGTTTAACCTGCCAACAGGCACAAGGCCTAACTTATTCAAACATCCTGCAAATATTTACTGAGCTCTTACTATGGGCCAGGCATTGTACTAAGTACTATAATGATGAACAAGATGCTATCCCTGACTTCAACGAGTTTGAAGTCTAGACAAGAAGATGAACAGAGGCAGCATGAGGATCTATAAGAAGGTATGGAGTGTGGTAGAAAGAGCAGTAAACTCAGAGCCAAGAAGCCTCAGCTCTAACTCAGTTTCCTCCTGTTTTAGCAGTCTAAGATTTGGCAAGCCATGTTCTCTCTCTGGGCTTTAGTCTTCCATTTATAACACAAATGGACTAAAAAGATGCTATTTAAGGTCCTTTTCAGCTATGAGTCCATGTTCCAAAAGAAGATAAAATTGCGGAAGCAGCAGCAGCAATATTCACTGAAGACTTAGCATATGCCAGAAATCTTGCTAGAAATCATTTACTTAAGATTCAATTTTTGTATGAAGTGGTATTACCGGCATTACTACATCACTTTAAAAAGAAAAAAACTGGAAGACTGGTTTGATTATATTTCTTTGTACAGTTATACTCTATTTACAAGAAGAATCTAAAGTGATTTATGGTAAAAATACATAAAGACTAAGACTTAATGAGAAATAAAGACCACATTAAGTAATAAATATAAGAAGGGTACAATAAAAATTACTTTTTAAAAATTAACAGGCCATGTCAGAAAGCCATGGTGACTGAATTGAATCCTATCCTAAACCTAACTCACCTGACAGCCAAAGCAAAGAGGGAAATGCAACTACACGTGGAGCTCTTAAGACAAAAGACGACACTAGCCCAAAAAAATCTACACTAGCCCAAAAAAATCTTTTTCACGTTGAGATATAAGATGAACTGCAACCATGTGTTTAGTTTGTTTCTCATGGAGAAACAGGAAGTGAGAAATGAAGGGAAAAGAGTTTTTAAAAATAATTAATTAAACCAGTTTTCAGATACTTAAACATTTAACTTTACAATTATATATCCTACTTACGATTCACATTCATTTTTTTTCCAATTAACACATATTTTGTGATTAACCTAGCAACAATCTTGGGTAAACTATTATTCTATCTGCCTATTTGGAAAAAAAAATTCATTTTCAAAGGTATGTAGAACTACATTAATATGGCTGCAAAGCCCTCTTTACTTTGATTTTTTTTCAAATGGAAACAGATTGACCCACTGGCAAGACTTACAGAAGCTACGGAGGCATTCCTTTCAAAATAATCACCTCATCAGTCATGCCTATTCACCCCTACCTCCAGGCTTTTGTGCTTAAGAAAGAAAAGTTTATAAAGTAAACAGGAAAAACAATGGCAGACTCATTTGATTCAAATACAGGTATAAAATCTTTAAGTTTTTACACATTCTTTAGGAGAAGAACTTGCAGGGGAAAAAACCTATTGTTGTTGCTTTAACAGACAGAAAAAAATACATTTGAAATATCCAAAAACTATAAACAATGTTAAATTTTTAACTGTGGTAAGAGATGAATTTATAATTTTAACCATTTTTAAGTATACAGTTACATTGTTGTACAACTATCACCATGCTAATTCTTTTTGAATATGTCCCTCTGTTACATCTCATTGTCAGCATTAGTAATTCTGTATTGTTTTCCTAAATATAATTTGGAACTGAAACTTAATGTTTTCTTATTTAAGGAAAGAGCATATTCTAAATAAGAGATGAAATTTACAGTATTACTATAATTGATTTTGCAAACTAAGGTTTCCATGACATCAGCAAACTATTTCCTAAAAAGAAACCCTTATTACTAAACCCAACTGTCTTGATAACTATACTCACAATTAAACCTCGGTTGTTTGGAAGAAAGTGAGCTCTGAAACCCAAAAATGTGTAATACTGACTATAAGCATTTCTCAACAGCAAAATCTTAAGTGAATATTTTCCTGTTAGTTCCTTTGTGGCTCAATGATACAGGATAAGGACAAGGATGGGCTAGAAGAGGAAAAGAAGATATTTAAGAGATATTCCAGAACCACTTATAATCAAAAGCACACTCCTCCTCCCCATAGGCTTTGAAATTTTGTTCATTAGAAAATAATTTTTCATGGTAGGAATTTCTAAATAATGAAATATTAACCTGCTACAACTCTTTTAAAAGAATGGATTACAGGGTATAAGAGACTGGAATCAGTGATAAGCAATTTGC